CTAACAGCCATAAAAGGGGAAATCGACAGAAACATCATAGTAGGGGACTTTAACACCCCACTTTCACCAGTGGACAGATCATCCAAAATGAAAATATAAATAAGGAAACACAAGCTTCAAATGATACATTAAACAAGATGGATACTTATAGGACATAATCAAAAACAACAGAATACACTTTCTTCTCAAGTGCTCATGGAACATTCTCCAGGATAGACCATATCTTGGGTCACAAATCAAGCTTTGGTAAATTTTAGAAAATTGAAATCATATGAAGTATCTTTTCTGACCACAACACTCTGAGACTATATATCAATTACAGGAAAACATCTGTAAAAAATACAAACACATGGAGGCTAAACAATACACTACTTAATAATGAAGAGATCACTGAAGAAATCAAAGAGGAAATCAAAAAATACCTAGAAACAAATCACAATGAAAACACGATGACCCAAAACCTATGGGATGCAGCAAAAGCAGTTCTAAGAGGGAAGTTTATAGCAATACAAGCCTACCTTAAGAAACAAGATACATCTCAAATAAACAACCTAACCTTACAACCTAAAGCAATTAGAGAAAGAACAAAAATCCGCAAAGTTAGCAGAAGAAATCATAAAGATCAGATCAGAAATAAATGAAAAGGAAATGAAGGAAACGATAGCAAAGATCAATAAAACTAAAAGCTGGTTCTTTGAGAAGATAAACAAAATTGATAAACCATTAGCCAGACTCATCAGGAAAACAAAGGAGAAGACTCAAGTCAATAGAATCAGAAATGAAAAAGGAGAAGTAACAACTGACACTGCAGAAATACAAAGGATCATGAGAGATTACTACAAGCAACTCTATGCCAATAAAATGGACAACCTGGAAGAAATGGACAAATTCTTAGAAATGCACAACCTTCCAATACTGAACCAGGAAGAAATAGAAAATATGAACAGACCAGTCACAAGCACTGAAATTGAAACTGTGATTAAAAATCTTCCAACAAACAAAAGCCCAGGACCAGATGGCTCACAGGCGAATTCTGTCAAACATTTAGAGAAGAGCTAACACCTATCCTTCTCAAATGCATCCAAAATATAGCAGAGGGAGGAACACTGCCAAACTCATTCTATGAGGCCACCATCACCTTGATACCAAAACCAGACAAAGATGTCACAAGGAATGAAAACTACAGTCCAGTATCACTGATGAGGATAGATGCAAAAATCCTCAACAGAATACTAGCAAACAGAATCCAACAGCACATTAAAAGGATCATCCACCATGATCAAGTGGGGTTTAATCCCAGGAATGCAAGGATTCTTCAATATACGCAAATCAATCAATGTGATACACCATATTAACAAATTGAAGGAGAGAAACCATATGATCATCTCAATAGATGCAGAGAAAGCTTTCGACAAAATTCAACACCCATTTATGATAAAAACCCTGCAGAAAGTAGGCATAGAAGGAACTTACCTCAACATAATAAAGGCCATATATGACAAACCCACAGCCAACATCGTCCTCAATGGTGAAAAACTGAAACCATTTCCACTAAAATCAGGAACAAGACAAGGTTGCCCACTCTCACCTCTCTTATTCAACATAGTTTTGGAAGTTTTAGCCACAGCAATCAGAGAAGAAAAAGAAATAAAAGGAATCCAAATTGGAAAAGAAGAAGTAAAGCTGTCACTGTTTACAGATGACATGATACTATACAAAATGAATCCTAAAGATGCTACCAGAAAGCTACTATAGCTAATCAATGAATTTGGTAAAGTAGCAGGATACAAAATTAATGCACAGAAATCTCTGGCATTCCTATACACTAGTGATGAAAAATCTGAAAGTGAAATCAAGAAAACACTCCCATTTACCATTGCAACAAAAAGAATAAAATATCTAGTAATAAACCTACCCAAGGAGACAAAAGACCTGTATGCAGAAAATTATAAAACACTGATGAAAGAAATTAAAGATGATACAAATAGATGGAGAATTATACCATGTTCCTGGATTGAAAGAATCAACATTGTGAAAACGACTGTACTACCCAAAGCAATCTACTGATTCAATGCAATCCCAATCAAACTACCAATGGCATTTTTCAGAGAACTAGAACAAAAAATTTCACAATGTGTTTGGAAACACAAAAGACCCTGAATAGCCAAAACAATCTTGAGAAAGAAAAACGGAGCTGGAGGAATCAGGCTCCCTGACTTCAGACTTTACTACAAAGCTACAGTAATCAAGACAGTATGGTACTGGCACAAAAACAGAAATATAGATGAATGGAGCAGGATAGAAAGCCCAGAGATAAGCCCATGCACATATGGTCACCTTATCTTTGATAAAGGAGGCAAGAATATACAGTGGAGAAAAGACAGCCTCTTCAAAAAGTGGTGCTGGGAAATCTGGACAGGTACATGTAAAAGAATGAAATTAGAACACTCCCTTGTACCATACACAAAAATAAACTCAAAATGGATTAAAGACCTAAATATAAGGCCAGACACTATCAAACTCCTAGAGGAAAACATAGGCAGAACACTCCATGTCGTAAATCACAGCAAGATCCCTTTTGATCCACCTCCTAGAGAAATGGAAATAAAAACAAAAATAAACAAATGGGACCTAATGAAACTTAAAAGCTTTTGCACAGCAAATGTAACCATAAAGAAGACGAAAAGACAACCCTTAGAATGGGAGAAAATATTTGCAAGTGAAGCAACTGACAAAGGATTTATCTCCAAAATTTACAAGCAGCTCATGCAGCTCAATATCAAAAAAACAAACAACCCAATCCAAAAATGGGCAGATGACCTAAACAGACATTTCTCCAAAGAAGATATACAGATTGCCAACAAACACATGAAAGAATGCTCAACATTATTAATTAGAGAAATGCAAATCAAAACTACAATGAGATATCATCTCACACCAGTCAGAATGGCCATCATCAAAAAATCTACAAACAATAAATGCTGAAGAGGCTGTGGAGAAAAGGGAACCCTCTTGCACTGTTGGTGGGAGTGTAAATTGATACAACCACTATGGAGAACAGTATGGAGGTTCCTTAAAAAACTATAAATAGAACTACCATACGACCCAGCAATCCCACTACTGGGCATATACCCTGAGAAAACCATAATTCAAAAAATACATGTACATAATGTTCATTGCAGCTCTATTTACAATAGCCAGAACATGGAAGCGATCTAAGTGTCCATCAACAGATGAATGGATAAAGAAGATGTGGCACATATACACAATGGAATTTTACTCAGCCATAAAAAGAAATGAAATTGAGGTATTTACAGTGAGGTGGATGGACCTAGAGTGTGTCATACAGAGTGAAGTAAGTCAGTAAGAGAAAAACAAATACCTTATGCTAACACATATATATGGAATCTAAAAAAAAAAAAAAATTGTCATGAAGAACCTAGGGGCAAGACTGGAATATGGACACAGACGTACTAGAGAATGGACTTGAGGATATGGGGAGGGGGGAGGGTAAGCTGTGACAAAGTGAGAGAGTGGCATGGACATATGTACACTACCAAACATAAAATAGATAGGTAGTGGAAAGCAGCCACACAGCACAGGGAGATCAGCTCAGTGCTTTGTGACCACCTAGAGGGGTGGGATAGGCAGGGTGTGAGGGAGGGAGACGCAAGAGGGAAGAGACATGGGGATATATGTATATGTATAACTGATTCACTTTGTTATAAAGCAGGAGCTAACACACCATTGTAAAGCAATTATACTCCAATAAAGATGTTAATAAAAAAAAACTAAACTGTTGAACTGTGTTAAATGTGCTAAGCAGTCAAAATAAGACAAAAACTGTAAAAAGGCATCAGAGACCTTAGCAAGATCAATTTTCAGTGGATGCTGAAGATAGAGACCAGAGTTGAATAGATTGAGGACGAGAAGGTGACAAATGGAAATGGCAAATGAAGTCAACTTTTTTAGAAGTTTAGCTGTAAAGGGGAGAGGGAGGGCTCTCTGAAGAAGGGGAATTATAGTGAAGGATCTGGAAACAATGACTTATACTAGGAATGTTTGAAAAATTAAGAAGATTTGACCTGAATAGGGGAAGACTTAGAGAAGTTCTGTCTTCAGATATTTGAAAACCTTGCAAGTCAAGGAGATGCTTTATTTTTAATTTTTAGAGGGAAGAACCAGGACCAGTGTTTACAGAGAAATGGATTTTGACTCAACATTAGAAAACATCTTGAGCTGTCAAACTGTTAAATAGTTAGTTGCCTTGTGAGAAGTGAGCCTCCAGTCACAAAAAGTGGAAAACAAGAAGCTGTAAAGTCAGCATTCTAGTCCATTTCCAGTTCCTGGAAATGACTCCTGTATTGACTTAGGACTGAGCCCAGATGGACCTCCATCTCCCACTGCATTCTTGGGCCTATTGTTGCATGAGTTTGTTTAAATAGGAAGTTATTAGTCCTTTCTTGAGTATAAAAGGGAATTACCAGTTCTTGAGTCTCCACATCTCTTTAGACTCTTTAGTGCTCTAACCACCCACATGTAGAAATTAAAGAGGAAAAGACCAAGGGCTCATAAGTAACTTTAGGTAGGTTTCTTTGTGGTTTACTGTGCTTAATTTCACATTTGCAGTGACCAGTATCTCATTTGGTTCCTTAAATATTATTCTGAATTTGGGAAGGTCTGATTGCCTACCTACAAGCAGGCCATTGGCCACAAAGGTACTGTTGCGTTTAGAGTGCAGCACCCATATTCTTTATGCTTTGAGAGGGGTCTTTTATGCACTGATGATTACAACATCTTAGGGGGGAGTATAGGATTGGTCATGGGGATTATCTTTTGTATTGTTTTCCTACTTTTTCTTGGAGCCTGATTTTTTTTTTTTTTTTTTAGAGATAGCATATTTGGAAGAAAAAGGGTAAAAATAGTAATGAGGCAGGGTCCCCTATGATTTTATATTCATGGAATATAGAAAACTGATATTTTTTTTCTTATGTATTTAGAAAAACACTTTGTCGGAGAAGGAAAATATAGATCCTGTTAGCAGGTAAGTGGAGAAACAACAGTAGTGTTGTTTCTTGTGGCCTCAAGTTCTAACTATGGAGGAAGGAGGGAAGGAGAGCAGAGAGGTGAATGTAGCTTATAATAACGAGGTTCTATAAACTTTCTCTGTGGTTGCCAGAAAAAAAGTTTCTTTACCTTTTTTTTTTTCTAACATCTTTATTGGAGTATAATTGCTTTACAGTGTTGTGTTAGTTTCTGCTAGTTTCTGCTTTATAACAAAGTGAATCAGCTATACGTATCATATATCCCCATATCTCCTCCCCTCTTGCGTCTCCCTCCCACCCTCCCTATCCCACCCCCTCTAGGTGGTCACAAAGCACCGAGCTGATCTCCCCATGCTATGTGGCTGCTTCCCACTAGCTATCTATTTTACATTTGGTAGTATTTATAAGTCCATTCACTCTTTCACTTTGTCCTAGCTTACCCTTCCCCCTCCCCGTGTCCTCAAGTCCATTCTCTATGTCTGCGTCTTTACTCATGTCCTGGCCCTAGGTTCATCTAACATTTTTTTTTTTTTAGATTCCATATATATGTGTTAGCATTCGGTACTTGTTTTTCTCTTTCTGACTTACTTCACTCTGTATGACACACTCTATGTCCATCTACCTCACTACAAATAACTCAGTTCTTTACCTTTTAGTTTCTGTTGAAAGTATGGCCCTTCATAGAATTACTCTTACTCTAAAATACTTCCATCTTATATAATACATGAAATAGAAATTAAAATAGTCTTGTTCCTCCTTCTATCTAAAGATAAGGCTTCGCTTTTTTCCCTATTGGTAATTTAAATAAATATTAAAATGTTATTTCTAAAAGTCTGAACAGTTCATCATTAGAAATCTATAATTCACCCCAATTTAAATTTTTAAATTGATTTTTAGGCTATTGTGCCAAACTCCTTGACCTCAGAAATCCACATCTCCACATAACCACATTTTTGTTCACAGAATGTTGCCGAAAAACAATCATGCCATGACTTTATAGGGATTATCTTCTAATTCATGGAATAAAAGATATTAGAACTTGTACCAAATTGGTCTCTTTTTGTATTCTTTTTGAAAATAGTTATTTTATTCATTTTGTGGGTCAGTTTAGTTACATATACTCACACGTCTTGTTTCACACATCTGTAAGACATTGTATTTTAATACATAAACCTTTCGTTCCTTAGCTTGGTCCAGACAAGTCCTATCCTCATCAAATTCATTCTCATTTTCAGAACTGTTGAGAACAGAGTCACTTGGACTCTCCTCTGTGGATGTCCTTAGAGCTGCACAGATCATGCATTTCCTACTCACTGGTTGAGACCTCCTAGTTGCTGCCTCACATGCCTTTCATCTCAGATGGAACTTGCCTGCCGGATTTTCTCTCGCACCTTCTTCTCATGGACTTCCATATTTACTTGCTTCAGTATCTTGCTGCTGCTCACTTAGGCTTGAAGTCTCAGCACCCAGTGCAGTGTCTGCCCCTGTACTGTCTTGTTTCCATGCTTAGTTCCGTTCACACAGTCACAGTCCCAGCAGGCCCCCAGTCCTTGGCTCCCGGCCCTATCTTTGCAGGGAATGTTAACACTAAGAAACTTGAGTCAGACTCCCTGTTCCCCAGATAGCAGACTCAGACCCCTTAGTTTGAGCATTTAGGGTCTCTTGCCATCAGGTTCCAACTTGCCTTCCACACCGCATCCTCTACTCTTTCCTGTAAAACTGTGTGGAAGCTGTGCCTTCTGGATTAGGTATGTTAAAAGGAATTCTTTTCCATTGCTGTATGCAAAACAACAGGGGCAGGATGCTATACTCGTAGGAATTTGGGCACCAAATTGAGCTACTCTGTCTTATTTGACAAAGCACATCCAGTTGGGGAGATGGGGGCTGTGTTTTAAAAGGAGCATGCTTTAAAGCATTATTAATTGTTAAAATAAAGCAGAACAAAACAAAGAAGAACCCTATCTATGACAGTAGACTGTTTCCACCTGCACATGGCTGAAATACCATTTGGAGAGACAGAGGGAGAGAGACACGGGGGTGGGGTTAGGGTGTGCAGCTTGACATTAACAAGAGAGGAGGCAGACAGTTGGTGGTTGTTATAGTTTCTGTGTTCTTTATATCCTTGATCATCAAGTTGCAACCTCCCCCTCATCCAGTTCCTTTAAAAAATGTGATACTTAGTGAATTTTCTTCCTATGCCTCTGCCAAGACATTACTGAAGCTTTTCTTTTCCCCATAGTCAGCAACAAAAGGCACAGAATCGTGTCTTTGAGTTTTTGAGGGCTATAGTTATGACTACTATTACTATCCAATAACCAAGAATTGGGTTTTCACATTCTGAAAATAAGAATATGAATATAAATGTCTTTTGATTAATATACCAGCCCTACAGATGTCTTTATTTGTTCTATCCAAGCATTTCTTTAATAGTTCTATTTAAAAAATAGGTTTTTCTTTTTATTTTGAAAAATTAAATGGTGTTTTAATAGTGTTAGAGGAATCTAGTATATCCCACTTTATTACAATTAACTTTTTTTTAACATCTTTATTGGAGTATAATTGCTTTACAACGTTGTGTTAGTTTCTGCTGTTTAACAAAGTGAATCAGCTATACATATACATATACCCCATATCCCCTCCCTCTTGCGTCTCCCTCCCACCCTCCTTATCCCACCCCTCTAGGTGGTCACAAAGCACCGAGCTGATCTTCCTGTGCTGCGTCCCACTAGCTATCTGTTTTACATTTGGTAGGGTATATATGTCCATGCCACTCTCTCACTTTGTTACAATTAACTTTTTATCTGCCCTGTTCCAGAGAGCAGTAGAAAGAGAATATTTTTCAAACTGTTCAAAGAATAGATATGAAAGGAATAACAAAATTTAAATATTTTAATATGTGTGTGTTTACATCAGAAAGACATCTTTCTAAATTCATTACAGTATTTTAGATGTAATTCTTTGAGCAGTCAGATCTTTTAAAATGTGTTTGAGAAACAATAGAAAAGTCACATTTTCAGTATAATCTATTTAAAATACATGTTATTCTTCCTTATATTTGAACAGTCTGTTCAAAACAATCCATTCATATGGGATTTTGCTTGTACAGATCTGAGTGGGAATCAGTAGTTTCTTTGTTTGTCACTATGGAAACAAGTCAGCCTATCCTGAATGGCGGTTAGATCACGCAGAGTGATGCTCATGTTTCAGTGTAACTTCATCATGGAGCAGGCTGGCGCTGACATCTTGCCTCCAGCTCTTCCCTCCTGGAAGCCCAGCGCCATGCAGGATCCACCCCGGAGGCTTTCTGCTGTGCCATTCCTCAGCTCCTTTTTCCAGGGCCGACGACACTCTGCCTCCGACCCCATCGTGCGACTGCAGCAGGGGCGGCGCAGCTCCACTGCCAAGATGCTCTCGTCATCCTCTCTCCAGGTGATGGTGGCCATGTCCTCCGTCAGCTGTGCTGAGAGAAACCCAACTTGCCCCGAGAGAAAAAGTAAAGCTCCTTTTCTTCTTAAAGATTGCCACAGCTTTGAGTTCAAATATAAGAACTGTGAAGAGGTTATACTGTGTTGATACTTTTTAAATTTTTGACAATTAATCCTGCATTATACTTTTTATTGTCTGTTATGCTAAGAGATTCAGTAGACATGTAATAGGAGATAAAAATGATTGAATGTTTTATGTTTTTTCATTAAAAATGTAGTTTTTGCACAAAACTCATTCCCTTGTAGAAGATCTGCTTTTACAGTTTCTTCCTTTTCATTACCAATATGACATGTGGAGATTATTGTATGCAAAAGTCTTTTCTGTAGTAAAGGATAGTGTACTTACACGAAAGGGAAACAGTTTTATTCCTGACAAAGTGAAAGGGATTTAGCACCAGCTTGTCATCTACAATCCGGAGAGAAAATGGAAGCTGTTTCCTATGTTACTATTCTGTTCGGAGAGTAGGATTTTGAATCGTCCCTTTGAATGTTCTAGGAAATTCAGGACGTCCAACACCAAAGTATACAAAAGTTGGAGAGCGTTTACGGCATGTCATTCCTGGACATATGGCCTGTTCCATGGCATGTGGTGGCAAAGCTTGCAAGTATGAAAATGCAGCTCGCTGGAGTGAACAGGAGCAAGCTATTAAGGGGGTCTACTCATCCTGGTAAGTGATTCTGTCTGTCTTTGGTAGCTCCCACCTACTGCTAAGTGGGAAAACAGAATGGACGTGTAGGAGATGACCAGGAGGCAGTGGGCTGTAGAAGAAGGAATGTGGGGTTCTGAAATCAGAGGACCTCACCTCCATCCCTGGCTTTGCCACTTGACAAGCTGTGTGATCTTGGTCTACTCACACAGGCAGTCGGAGCCACAGTTTCCTGATCTGTAAAATGGAAATAATGAAACCAACCCTATAGGATTTTTTTTTAATTGAATGGAATGCTGTATGTAAAGTATCTGAAAGAAATGGTAACTAGATAGCTCTTAAATTTCAGAAATTGCTAAAAATAATTTAAATGTTCAACTATAAATTTGAGAAATTATGAGGTACATAGGTAGTTTTTCAGCTTCATACAGGTAAGCTTTAGCCTCGTTTTTATTTTGTTCCTGTATTCTGTATAAAAGGATACATTTTCATACAAATACATACACTTCCAGTCTGCCTCAGTAGAAGGTGGTACGAGTTGTCAGTTCAGTAGACGATATAAGATGCTTACTTTGTTTATGGTATGTAAGTGTAATTCATTCATTATTGAATCATACTGCTTTTATTATTAATAGTAAACTGTCGAGTATACCTTTTTTGATGTAGTGATATCTCTAAAAAATTCTGATATTCAAAACCAAATCACATTTGGAATGCACTAAGAGGAATTCACTATTCAAAGAATTCTGCTTGTGAATCATTTTATAGAGCAAGAATTCATTTACAAATTAGATATTTGTCAACCAGCTTACTAACTTGCAACCCTGTACTTTGTCATATTGGATTTTCTGGATACATGTGTAGTACTATAGTCTGGGGTCCACTGTCACCGTTGTTCTCCACAGATCATGTTCTAGTTTATCACTATCTTTCTTGAAGAATGTTGTGAAAAAGCAAACACTATTCCTGAGGTGTGGTCAGACAAGTAAATTTCTAATAATGAAGCTTAAGGTCACATTCATATTTTTGGTTTATTGTTGACTAAACTATCTGAACTTTTTTCGCCTCTACTGCTTTCATGTTACATCTCTCTCAATCCTACACTAAGTGCTATTAAATTTGGGGGGTCCCAAACCTTTGGGGGTCCCTGTTAAACAGTTTTAGACATTGCCCCAGGCATGAGGGATAGTATCTTTCTGAATCCTGACCTGTTCATCTAATGTCTCTGTTACTCCTCTCAGGTTCTTGTGACCCACAACTTGCAATAGTCTACCTTATGTATCTTTCACTAGGCCACTGGTGAGAAATGCAATCAGAACAGAGTGAAGCCAGAGTCCTAGTGAGAGTGATAGCCATTTACTGGGTCTCTATCCATTTGTACACTCAGTAAACATCCATTTGGTTAAAAGCCAGGCACGGTGCTGAACACTCTCAAATTATTATCTTCATAAAACTCTTTAAGTAGGCACCATTAATGTCATTTTATTGGTGAAGGAATTGAAGTCCAGAGGGACTAAGTAATTTGCTACACAGCTAGAAAGTAGAAAAGCCAGCATTTGAAACCAGGTCCGACTGACTCCAAAGCCATATTTTTTGCAAAATTACAATAACTCAGCATTTTTTCATAACCACATGCTAGGATTTGTGCTAAAGTCTTTACATTCACATCATATTGAATTCTCACACAAACCTTGTGAGGCAGGCATTATCCCCACTCGATACATTAGGTAATTGAGGTACAGATAGCTATGTAACTAAAAATGCCTCCCAGCTGGCCCTCCTCATTTAGTCAGTAACCTTTGGATAACTAATCCAGGATGTCCTTTGCTGCCAGCTGAGGTTTCTCCATCATTCCATCATGTCCACTATAATCTCATGAAAGTCCTTGAAAGTGCTTTGCTGGAGTCCATAAATACTTAATGTCCTGGAATTTTTTCCAGGGATTTAAGAAGCTAGGGTTTCTTAGAGCCCTAATCATAATACAGAATTGAAGTCGGATTTGTATAAGGAGATTCTTACCTTATAGCATTGTTGAAATCATAGAAAAAGTAAGGGCTTGAAATCCTGCTTTCTCAGTTTTGTGCATATCACCAGTCCCTCCTCCCATCTGTAGGGTCACTGATAATATCCTGGCCATGGCACGCCCGTCCACTGAGCTCCTCGAGAAGTACTGCATCATCGAGCAGTTCCGAAGGTAAACGTTGCGTGTTTGCACACTTTAACAAGCCAGCTTGTGTTTTCTCTTCTATTGCTTTTGACTTCAAATGGAAAGGTGCTTTCATTTTACCAACAGGAGTGTGAAGAACTTATTTCAAATAACACAGTTAGGGTTTTGAAAGTAGTTAATAATGTTTATTAATGCCAAAGATGGTTAATTTTTTTAACACTACCTCCCAATATGACTAATTTTGTTTTTCTTTTTCCTTTAAGCCATGGCATAAAAAGTATCATCAACCTGCAGCGTCCTGGTGAGCATGCCAGCTGTGGGAACCCTCTGGAACAAGAAAGTGGCTTCACATACCTTCCTGAAGCTTTCATGGAGGCTGGCAGTAAGTCCTTCCATCCTCTTCTCCATGAGTTACCAAGGACAGAACTCAGAGACTTTTTGTCTGTTCAGCTCTTAGGTTAAAAAGGTGATGGAGATAAACAGTTACTGCATAGTAGTGTAGTAGGGCTTCTAAAAAGTGAAGATGAGCTAACTTTGACTTTAACTAATGCTATCATTCTTCTGTGCTATTGCTGTTGAAAGTATAAGATTTCTTTTTCCCGGTGAGAGGGGACTTGAGAGGAGACCCTGTAGAAAATTAATATAAACAGTATCCAGACCTGTCATCTCATTTAATCCTTAAAGCAGTCACATAATATAGTTGTTCTGCTTCACACATGAGGTCACACAGGCTGAGGAAGTTCTGACTTGCCCAAGATCACACAGCTTAAACATGGCAGCGGGATTGGAACCCAGGACTCATTCATGCTTTTACCTACTGCATAGCTCTGCCCCTGGGTAGGATGCAGGGATTCTGTATGTGACAATCTACAACTTGTTTTTAAGAAGTTTATGTTAGCTTTTTTATTCCACTAGTTAGAAAATCTATATGTACTACCTTATGCCATTTATCAGTCAGTTAGACATGTTTCCATGCTAAACAAGGTTGCATGCTTTCCCTCCATGGTTGAGTAATTTTGGCATAGATCATTGACTTTAATTTGCAATCCTGCTTTTCCTTAATTCTTTCCAACTGAGTTTCAGCAGGAAATGTGTTAAGTAATATAGAATGTTCTTTTTAAGAAATGTTAACAGTAAATTTACTGGAAATGTAAAAAGCCTATTATTTTAGGTCTACTCATCCAGTGAGATCTGTATGCCTTACAGCTTTATACTTTTCATGAATTCACTCACTTTTTTCAAATGTCTTTACAAGTATTTTTCCTGTATGTTGATTTTTTTCTTGTTCTCTTTCTCATTGTCCAGTTTACTTCTACAATTTTGGATGGAAGGATTATGGTGTAGCATCCCTTACCACCATCTTAGATATGGTGAAGGTGATGACATTTGCCTTACAAGAAGGAAAAGTAGCTATCCATTGTCATGCAGGGCTTGGTCGAACAGGTAAATTCTAGGAGGTGGTTTTATTGTCCTTCTACATGTTTAAACGTATAAGGAATATTTCCTAATTCTAGAGGATAGTTTTCAGATTGCTATCAAAGTTTTAAGTCAAATGGAACAAGTCAGTAAAAGATACTTGAAATATCTTAGATAGCTTCAGTGACCATATATTCATAAGAGTATTTTTGAATGATTTAGTGCTAAAACCTCATCATATTGAGTAATAAATAGGTAGATTTCCAAAGGTAGCTAAATGATCTTTCTGATTTTCTTTTTTAAAGGAAAAAAATCAACATTTTGTTTTTAATATGCAGTGTCTTTTTAAAATGTAATTTTCCTTAACCAAAATAATAATGAAAATAGCAAGCATTGTTTCACCTACTATCTTTTTAAGTCTTTAGCAACAATGTAAGTTTTGAAGGAGGTTAATTTGCTACATCAAGTAAGTGGCAGGGCCATGATTTAAAATCCATGGCTGTAAGGATTTTGTTTATAAAGGAGAGTCTTACCTGTACCTAGAATTCTATATAAAAATCAATGATTTTACTTAAAAATGCTGCAGAATATCAGTGCAATACTGATATTGGGGCACAAAAAGGGTTGGAATTGGGCTTCCCTGGTGGCGCAGTGGTTGAGAGTCCGCCTGCCGATGCAGGGGACACGGGTTCGTGCCCCGTTCTGGGAAGATCCCACATGCCGTGGAGCGGCTGGGCCCGTGAGCCATGGCCGCTGAGCCTGCGCGTCTGGAGCCTGTGCTCCACAACGGGAGAGGCCACAGCAGTGAGAGGCCCGCGTACCACCAAAAAGAAAAAAAAAAAAAAAAAGGTTGGAATCTTCATTGTCATGTAATCTAGCCAGACACCTGAGCTCGGCTCTGTCCACAGTGTATCCATATACCCACCACTGGGTCTTCCACCTTCTGGGGAGCATCTTTAGGGTAGAGACTCAGTTCTGTCCCAGACTGTCAGCTCTCATGGTTGAGCCAAAATCTCACTGTTCTAGGGATTCCACATGATAGCTCTGCAGATATTTCATACTTACCCTAAAGAACTGCCATGTCCTAGTGAGAAAGATAGGTTGGACCTTGCCGTGTACTAGGAAAACATGTATTTTTCAGAGACTCTGATTTTCATGTGTAACGAGATTCACAAACTTGGTGATTTACACAGATGTCTTTTGAATTGCCTTTTACTTGATGTTAATTAACTTTTATATTTGAGTTAATTGATTATTGCCTTTTTATTATTCATTTTAATTTAGTATTAATTAACAAGAATACATAATGCTTATACTGTTAAGGCTATTTTCCTTAATATTAAGTGCTTATAGAAAAATAGTTATGGTCTAGAGGAAAATACATATTAGTTTAGGCATTAGTTTAGTCTTCAATAAGAATCATCAGGAGAAAAGAATAGATTGTGAATGTGAATAATTGCCAAAGATAAAAATACCCAAGTAGGAAAAATGCCAGTCTGGAATGTGCCGCCAGTTGATGTCAAAGATGGCAGGGGTGGGAAGTTCCAAGTACAGTGTACCGACTGATTGGATAGAAATTTTTAAGAGCTGTTCAGTGTGGAAAGCAGGATTGGCTTTCTTCCATGTTGGAGCTGGGCATTAATGACGGTAAATGGGCCAGGTCATCAGTTTATTCAGTCATCACCCTCCACACTCAGTCATCCCCCCTCACTCCACACCTACTCAACTTCACTGTGACAGTTCTTGGTGCTTGCCCTGGAGTACAGAGGTGACCAAGTGTTCTCAGTCAAGGGGAGGGTTGCCACATAGACTTAGTAAATAGGTGAACACCTGTACAAAAAGTTATCATTGTCCTTAAAATGTTTCTGTATTTATATGGTTTCCTAACAGATATTCAAATTTTAAATCACCAAAGAGTATAAATAAAAATATAAGCTTTTCTCATATCATATTCTCTTCTTCACTGTTCAGGTGTTTTAATAGCATGTTACTTAGTTTTTGCAACAAGAATGACTGCTGACCAAGCAATTATATTTGTTCGGGCAAAGCGACCTAATTCCATACAAACCCGAGGACAGCTACTATGTGTAAGGGAATTTACTCAGTTTCTGATTCCTCTTCGCAATATATTCTCTTGCTGTGACCCCAAGGCACATGCTGTCACCTTAGCACAGTATCTCATTCGCCAGCGGCATCTGCTTCATGGCTATGAGGCACGACTTCTGAAACATGTACCCAAAATTATCCATCTCGTGTGCAAATTGTTGCTGGACTTAGCTGAGAACAGGCCAGTAGTGACGGAAGAAGTGGCAGAAGTACCTGGCCTCTCTGCTGAAATTGAAAAGACTGTTTCTGAGATGGTCACAATGCAGCTGGATAAAGAGTTACTGAGACATGACAGTGATGCATCGGACTCTTTCACCCCCAGTGCAGTGGTGGCAGATTTTGAGAATCGGGATGTGATTCTTTCCAGTGAGCAAGAGTTTGACCCTCTTTGGAAGAGGCGGAATGCTGAGTGCCTTCAGCCCCTGACTCGTCTGAAAAGGCAGCTCAGCTACAGTGACTCGGACTTAAAGAGAGCCGAGTCACTTCTGGAGCAAGGGAGGACTCCGTGGACAGTGCCTGCCCAGGCCTTGCTTTGCCATAACCCCAGGCAGCAGAAGCACATAAGCCATTGTTACTCCCCACAGTCTCCACAGCTAGATTTAAATAAGGAAACGCTGGTCCGCAGTACATTTTCTTTCTGGAATCACGCTAAATTGGGAGGCCTGGAAGGACTCAAAGATGACAGGTCATCAATTTTCCATAGGACGAACATTCCAAAGGAAGTACAGCGAAGTAGAACCTTCTCTTCCGGTATTTCAGGTTCATACAACCCTGGGGAACCAGTTACACCAAATTTTGCAAATATCCCTAAGGAACTAAACTGTTCTCACCAGCAAGTGTCCCACTGTGAGTGTGAAACTCGTGGTGGTTGTAGCCCAAGCTCCGTTATGGAGGACAGTGAGACTTGCCACCACCCCGTGGACTGTACGTCCAGTCCCAAAGCACAGTTCTTGGTTGGACCTGAAACCCGGGATAGCAAATACCTGTCTGAAGTTGCTCCATACATGGCTTTACATTCTGACTTGAGTGTTGAAGCAAGGAGAATACTGGCAGCCAAAGCCCTGGCAAATTTAAATGAGATTGCAGAAAAGGAGGAAGTGAAAAAGAAGGTAGAAATGTGGCAGGTACTTGTATTTCATTTAATTATATATGAGTGGGAAATATTTGTGTAAGAGCAAAAACAATACATTTTCCCAAATTCATTTGTTACAGGAATTTGAAGATATGTTTGTATAATACGTAACTTTTGAACTTCAAGTTACTCAGCTATAATACCAGCTTGCTGTCATAGAAACAGCAGACACAGGGCTGTTTTGTAGGTTCATTTCAATCTCTGTGAAGGAAAGCCCTTAGTGCTTAGCACTCAGCAGGGTGCTTGACTGAGCAAGGCAATGATATTGATTGATGTCAATGGTTTCCTTCTTTCTCACTGGGCTTGCAGGACTGATGGACAGATGAACAGACCACAGCAGACAGCTGTAGGAACTGACCCGAAGTATCTCTAACCTGAGACCTAGCAGGGAACCACTCTTTGAGAACCAGTGACAGAGATAATATAAATGAAATAGAGACAATTCTTTTCCAAAGCTCATTAACCCAACTATCAAGTAAAGCCAGAAGGACGAGTGATGGATGCTGTCTGCTCAGCATTCCCTCCTGCAGACTTCCCAGTCCACCCCAATAAGTCAGGTGTTGGATTCCAGAAGGCAAATGGGAGTGGCCACAGCATACATTTGTGCCACTGGTTTTATCTAAGATTGGGTTCTTGGGATCTATTTCTTAGCCTTTACTTAAATTAGAATGTGAAATTTTAAATTTTAACGCCTTTTTGTGTTGTACTTTCACTAGGAAGACAGTCTTAAATTAGCCTTGCTCTCTGCCCAAAATAAGCAGCTGGTCTAGGGAAAAGGCAGGCCTTATAAACCTAGTTATCAGAAACAAGTAAACTGCCCAAATGTGGGGCTGACCTGGGGAGGCCTGGCTCAGTGAAATTTTGGCTTGTTAGCCCATAACCTACCATGAATTATTTGTGTAGCTACTTTTCCATATCCTACCGTTAATCAAACAAGCTGTGTACACTTTTCAGGAGGCCAGACCTTCCAGATGCAGGGGCGGGAAGAGTAGGCGTGGAGCCTCGCCCTCACTTGCAACTGTGTGACAGGAGGAGAGCGCTTCCACACACGATTTCTCCATCAGAATTGTAGTGTTTTGTTTAATGAACAGTTAAATGTATTGCTTTCTTCCAACATGAAGTATTTTCTTTATTTCCTACTCCAAACTGAACAAGCCTTCCACTCAGTGGGCAGGTCTCCTCTGCGTCGCTGTGAGCCACAGTAGCTAGTGGCAGGACCTCAGGGTTCAGGCTTGAGAGCTCACCACCCCGTCGTGGGTCAGCCCCACATGGGCCAGACTGTTTGAACACATAATATAAACGAAAGCTTTTCCTAGAGGTAGATACTATTCTACCATTTGGATAGGTTTGCCTTTTTTTTCCTTTCTAGATTTTATTGTGGGTCTTTCAGTAATAAAACAAATCAGTTGAATTCTGGAAAAAGTAAAATGAACATGATTTGAATAGCATAATGCTGCCTGTGCCCTTATTATGCCCTTTCACATCTATTATTTCATGTGATTTTCACAGAAGTCCTGTGAGACAGATGATATTTTTTACAGATTCTTTGTTAATCTTTCAGTCCTTATGAATTAAGTATCACAGGTCAGGAAACTAAGTGTCACAGAGGTCAAGTGATGTGCTTGAGGAGATGTGGTCCAAAGGCAGCAGGGCCAGGATACAGTTCATATGTTTAATACTTTCCATCATCCCTGATGTTTTTCCTAACACTGCAGGAAGATTTCAGAAAACAACAATGATGTAATGGTTCTACTAAGAGGGTCTTTGAGTCATGTTGTTTCTGCCCAACATAAAAATTGAGTAAAAGCTACTCTGCTATGTACATGATCTATGGGATATGAAGGACTATCCACAACTAAAAGTTTTGGCTTATTTATGACATAATAAAGAGAAACCCAGTGCTGGAGGACCCTGGTAGCATGAGAAAAACATCACAGACTGGGATAGAGCAGATCTGGGTTGGGAATGCGCTCTCACACTTTGGGCTCCTGGGCAAGTTACTTCATCTTTCCTGAGCCCCCCAGTACATTTATCTGTAAAGGAGACCTCCTTGCTGGGTTGCTGTAAGAATCAGAGATAAGTCTTCTATCATCGTTCTTGTCATAGTCTGAGTATTCTATGAATATTGGATGGGTGAATGAATGGATGGTGGCAGTTATTCTGCTTATTACTATTGCAAACACGTATTTTATTTATTAAAAACAAATCTGAACCCTGTCAGAAATTAAAATTCTTATCTCACTTTTCCCCTGATCTCTGTGAGGTAAAGTTTTAAAATCTTAAATTATCTCCAGATATTTGGAGTATTGGCAAGACTTCCTAGTTATTTTACCCTATCAAATTTCAGAATACAGGGCTTGTTTGTTAAATCCTACATAGGATTCTAAAAAGGAATTTGAAAGAAATACATGTACCACATTTACTAACTTTTTGGCACTTTTACACTGTAATACACTTTTTCATTTACACTTTTTCATCTACCATTCTACTTCCTTGCAGTAAATATTTGTTTTGTTCCAAGGAGCCTGAAAAGGAAGGTTCCCTCTTCTTGAACTGTTTCTGTGGTCTCTAAACAAAGTGGAGAACTCAGGTTAGCTAAGCCTTTCTTTGTACCAAGAGCTTTAACAGCCCTCTCAGTTAGTCAGTCTACCTGTGGGGTGGAGATGAACTTTACAAAGGGAAATTGAGGCTTAGAGAAATTGCATGTCTTAGCCCAAGGTACTGGCTGGAAGTGGGGTCACTGGGAGGGGTCCCAGTCCACACCCCAGAGCCTAAGAGTTTACTCTCCTGGACAGCCTAAGGATCATCAGATGTCAAACCGTGCCTGCCTCCCTCTCCTCCTCTCTCCCTCACTTTGTCTCTCTCTTTCTCTTCCTCTCTCTCCTTTCCTGTCTGTCCTCTCCTCTCCTCTCTCCTTTCTTTTTCTCTTTCTTTCTTCCTTCCTTTTTAGAAAGAACTAAATTCCCGAGATGGAGCTTGGGAAAGAATATGTGGCGAAAGGGATCCTTTCATCCTGTGCAGTTTGATGTGGTCTTGGGTGGAGCAGCTGAAGGAGCCTGTGATAACCAAAGAGGACGTGGACATGTTGGTTGACAGATCTGCGGATGCCGCAGAAGCACTATTTTTATTAGAGAAGGTAAAGTAGCTGTTGAACACTTGATGAAGTTAACTAAGGCCCTCAATACAAGTTTTACAGACTGCAAAAAAACATTATAAAAAAGAGAAGGGCTTCCCTGGCGGCGCAGTGGTTGAGAGTCCGCCTGCCGATGCAGGGGACACGGGTTCGTGCCCCGGTCCGGGAAGATCCCACATGCCGCGGAGCGGCTGGGCCCGTGAACCATGGCTGCTGAGCCTGCGCGTCCGGGCCTGTGCTCCGCAATGGGAGAGGCCACAACAGTGAGGGGCCCGCGTACCACAAAAAAAAAAAAAAAGAGAATTCACACAGAATCCCTTATTGGGGTCTAATTTAAATTTTTCCAAGGTAAGAGAAGAAATGCATCCCCAGTATAAACATTTAGAAGATACAAAAAATAAAAAGGGAAAATACCCATAACCCCAGGAGAACTACTTTAAACATTTTCAAGTCTTTTCTTTCGATCTTACTGATACATATGTTAACTTGGTAAAAATTATTTCACATACAACTTTATACTTCATTTTTGCTCAAAATTGTAACATAGGTATTTTTCCATGTTTAAGTTTTTCATTAATGTTAACTTTAATGGGTAGGTAATGCTCTAACATGGGGATATGTTATAACTAACCACTTTTTCATTTTCAAGTATTTGTTTCTACTTATTTACTGTGAGCATATAATGTGAATAACTGAGGTAGGTTGGAATATGTTCATTTGTATTTCTTTAAAAAGAGTGTGTGTCACATATATACATTTATGTATATAATTTGTGTATGTATAAAACATAGAGGGAAAAATAAGAAACTGATAATGGTGGTTGCCTTTAAAACAGCAGTCCCCAACCTTTTTGGCACTAGGGAGAGGTTTCATGGAAGACAGTTTTTCCATGGCGTGGGTTGGGGGGAGGATGGTTTCAGGATAATTCAAGCACGTTACATTTATTGTGCACTTTATTTCTATTATTTTTATATTGTAATATATAATGAAATAATTATACAACTCACCATAATGCTGACAGGAGGCAGAGCTCAGGCAGTAATGCGAGTGATGGTGAGCAGCTGTAAATACAGATGAAGCTTGGCTCACTCGCCCGCTGCTCACCTCCTGCCGTGCGGCCTGGTTCCTAACAGGCCATGGACTGTTACCAGTCCGTGGCCCAGGGGTTGGGGACCCCTGCTTTAGAGAATAGTAGTAGGAGACAGTGGATCTAGGAAGCAAGAGAGACTTTTCATTGTAGATTCTTTTATACAATTTAATATTTTTAACCCTGAAGAGATATTAAATTTTCATTTATAAATAGGCTTTGTTTTGTTTTAGGAAACAATGTTATAATCAGCCTTGAGTAACCTACTACGCTGTGGTGTAAACACTTCATTGCTTCCAAATCTTCTACTTCTACTATTACTACTTCATACAGACACACAGAGATACAGACAGGCACTTGCTCACAGTTGTGTGATGCACGTCTTTAAAGATAAGGTTTTTCCTGTATCTGCAGTCCCTTTCTTAGGCTATTTTCTGAGCATTTAAATTTTAGAGATGAAACAGGAGGGTGGATAAGGAAGGCAGTTAACTTTCATTGGGTGGCAATGGGCCAGGCCCTTGCTAGGTCATAATTTCTGTTTTCACCTTTGTTCATCTCCATAACTCAGAGAGGTAGAGGCCCCACTTTTCATAGAAGGGAATGTGAAGCAGTCTGCCCACAGTGTGCAGCATGTGTCAGAGCAGGATACAAACTCCGGCACAAAGGTCATGTACTTTCTGTCAATGTGCTGTTTCCTCATCATTCACTCCAACCCTCACATGCAGGGCATTTACATTATTTAGAGTTTTTTACTTTTATAGGCATCACTGTAATGATAATTTGTGCTTGCAGGTTTTTCTGCATTTCAGATCATGTCCTTAGAGTAGATTTCCAGAAGTGAAATTAGTGGCTCTCGGGCGGCAACGTGTATTGAATGCGAATTGCTCCAGTGATGGAGTTTCTCCTTTGTTTCTCCAAAGTAAGCAACCCTCAGGAGTCAAGTTGGGGACACATTCTTCAGGGACCTTCTCCCTTATGTTATGGCATGCTCCTGGAGGGCTGTGGCTGTCTTTCTTCTTCTGCCCCTCCCCACTCAGTATTGTCTGCCACTGGCAAGACATGATGAAGGTACGAGCACTGAGTACCCAGCCATCTAGTCCACGTATTGCTGTGACGTGTCAGCATCTACTAGCCATACTGAAACGATTATGTCTAGAAACAACAAGAATGGATCGTCCTCAGTTCACTGCATGGAAGGCATTTGATTTTAAATTGCACTTATCTTCGGATTCAACTCTACTTTGTGTAATAACTAACCAGCTTTGATATTATCTACTGAAAGCTTTTCAAGTTAACACACAACCCTAAACACTGGTAGAGCCCTTGGTAGATAGTTTAGTATTTGAGGTAATGATTACTTGGTCACAAACCAGTTCTTGGCTTAGCAGTTGTTTTAAGTTTATTTCTTGAGGCATTTTTTTTCTAACATCTTTATTGGAGTATAATTGCTTTACAATGTTGTGTTAGTTTCTGCTGTATAACAAAGTGAATCAGCTCTATGTATACATATATCCCCTCCCTCTTGCGTCTCCCTCCCACCCTCCCCATCCCACCCCTAACTTGTTAGATTTTGATTTCTGCAAAAACAGGGGCAGCAACAGACTGTTCTTTGCGTGTTGCATTGCATAGTGAGCCTGCAGATGATTCCTGCCAACGTGGAGGAAGCCATTCTTGCACGTGCCATTAAAGCCTTCACTAAGGTGGGTGGCACTTCCCTTTCTCCCTACAGACCACACTCAGTATAATCTTTGTAAATCAGAATCCGAGGGTCACCAGCCTTCTCTAAAATAAACCTTCTGGCCATGTTTCCCTTTAATGGAAATGTGCTTGACATTTCTCGAAAACAGTTGCAAACTTTTGGCTAAAAAATATCAGTTTCCTAACAATGATATAAAAGGCTGAACTGTGGGCTTTTTGAAGGAAAACTTTGGAACAAAGAAGTTTTGTGTAGAGAGAAACAACTGAGTGTTGAGAAAATATTTTTAAATCATGTTCCTAGTAGAACTCAGAGAATCTTTTCTTGTTGAGCCAGTTCTACCTTGGGTCTGAACAAGAAACCATCTACTGAGAATTTAACATCCAACGTTAGCAGTTCGGTACCGTGTCTGGTTGGCAAATCCTAAGCAAAAAGTAAAATAATGTTTCCTTTCCATGCACATCCTTTTGGCCTGCAGCAGTCTTTCCTGGCTGAAAAAACACGCCAGATTTCATACCAAGAGAAAAGCTTCCCTTGGGACTTCCCTGGTGGTCCAGTGGTTAAGAATCTACCTTCCAATGCAGGGGACGCGGGTTCGATCCCTGGTCAGGGAACCAAGATCCCACATGCCACAGGGCAACTAAGCCCGCGCGCCGCAACTACTGACCCCTCACACTCTGGAGCCCGTGCACCATAACTAGAGAGAAGCCCGCTTGCCACGACAAAAGACCCCACATGCCACAACTAAGACCCGGTGCAGCCAAATAAATATTGAAAGAAAGAAAATGTTCCCCTCACCTCTTAAACCCATTTGTTTGGTATCTCTCATATGTGATACAAAAATGTCATTAAACAAAGAACCCAGTTTTTCGATGACAGCATCTGTGGCAAACATTAATGATAATAGCACTTATTATTTGTACTTATTCACCAATCTCTTTCCCCATCCACTCTTTCCAAAGTGATGTCCTTCTGGCAGGTTTCTTTGTTCCTCATCTGATGCTTTACCGCAGTAACCACTTTGCATCCTCTCAGTCTCTTCATGACTGTTTCCAGAGTCAGCGCCTCAAAACCAAAGTCATGTGATCGTTTACATCTCTGTTTATGTTTTCATAGACCCAGAGGCCACTGCTGTGTGGGGATGGTTGTGATTTGGTGTTTAACAAAGTATACAGTTCAAACTGTTGTTAATAAGTTTTTGCAGATAGGACAGACAAAATAATGATTAAGATAAAGTTAAGTTTATGAATTTAACTGGAAAAAATCCTGAATACTGGTCTCTCTGAAAGAGGTAGGAATTCTTTACAACTTCTGTTGACCTTTTAGGGGGATACTAATGAAAAGTTAAATATACCAGTTGTCCCAAATCTGTCTGTAAAAATATTAGAATACCGTCCTTGGGTCTCTCCCGTTGTGCACAATCTTAGGAGCAAAGGCCCTGATAGCTTCTATTCCAGGCTAGCTCTTCAAGGAAATCTGTGTAGCATCTGCTTCCTATGTAACAAAGATCATGTTTCCTTCAGGCCAAAGCTTAGTAGTCTTGCCACAGCTCCCTCATCAAACATGGGGGATTGCCTAAGCATGGAGTTCCTCAGCTGTGATGCAGACTCCACCTGTGCCCCTCTGCATCATCCCCAGGGGGGTTGGAGGGCAAGGGAACCCATGTGATTACAGAGCGTGTGCTGCCTTCAGTCATAAAGTTGTTTGTCTCTGACCCAGCAATCTCCTGTCTTCTGCTAGCATCTATAAGGTGTGTTATCAGGGTGAAATCTCAGACTCTTCCCAGCCCTTCATAAGGGAACAGCCTTCACTCTCTCTCTCCAGGAGGGAAGGGATCACTGGCCAAGTGATCCTGATCCTTTCCTAAGGAGTCACACATTGCTTTGGTGATGGGAGTGGGGTGGAGGTGTGGTGATTGCTCTGGTTCTCTGTCCTAACATCACTAACCTAACCCTGCAATACGGTGAACTTGGGTAAAAAATCCAAATATGTATATGTGGTGCCTTCCTACCAATGGGAAAGGAAATTAACTTTATGGAGGTATTTACATGTGCCAAGCATGTGTTAGAGCCTCATATTTAGTACTCAGAGAAATCCTAAGGAGGTGGATCTTGTGGTCTTCATTTTACAGAAAGATTAGGTATGACCTGAGGCTATAATTACTGACAGGTGGAAAGCTAGGCTCCCCACTCAGGTCACCTCAGTCCAACAGTTAAGCTGGTGTGCATTGTTTTAATAAGGAGACCTTTCCCTTATACCATCCATGATTAGTCTCTGCATTCAAAACCCCCATCACACTCACTGTTGACTTGCTTCATGAGTACTGTACATATCCAGGCACTAGATTTAATTTTTTTAGTTTTCATTCATAAATTTGGTATTGACATGATTGGCAGTTCTAATATAGTATTTTAATTAAAACTAGTGTGTGAAATGCATTGTGTTTGCTTTTTAATTGTATATAATTTTGTTTATAAGTCTTTGTTTTTTTCTCCACCCCCTTTCTTTTCTCCCAAAATAAAGACTGGTTAAAATTCTTGTTATAGTATCCTGAATATAAATTTTCTTTGTTACCAGGTTAATTTTGATTCTGAAAATGGACCAATAGTTTACAACACCCTGAAGAAAATATTTAAGCACACACTGGAAGAAAAAAGAAAAATGACAAAAGACGGCCCTAAGCCTGCTATTTAGTGAAGCTGACTTTCCCCTCGTGAATATTTCAGACCTGAAGATCTAGATGGCATTTCTGCTCATAGCTGAACAAGCTGAAATGTGGAACTGCTTCGTCTCATAGCACTTTTATTTCAGATGCTCTTGGTTTGTGCTAAGAATGCTTGTTCCTGTTTGGAGCAATTATTTATTTTAAAATATCCTTGAGTTACATTTTTGTGTTGAAAAATTGCCATAAAGTTGGTGCCACTTCTTTTATTTATTTAACTGGATTAATATTGTATTGATATTTTAAGAATGTGGTGTTTACATCCTTATTCTTTTTGACATTTTGGAAAAAGTTTTAACTCTTCTTTCCAAAACAATTATCTTATTGATGGAACTCTTCCTAGAGTTTTTACCAAATAGATAATTTTAGTAGTAAAACTTCACTGTGTGTCTATTCCCCAATACAGGACCTAAGGAAGTCACCAAGTGTCTTAAACGATTTTATATTTGTTAATAAGAAGGCAATTGACTCAACATTTTTAAAGGATTTTTTAATATTTGTTTGAATTTGTTTTTTCTTTTTATAAGTGTGGCAAAGGATCTCAAATATATTATTTTTCAGAGTGATTTAGTTTTACGTTAAAGGATTGACAGTGCAGTGTTTGGGACTTATTACTGTAGGAAATAGACTTGCTCTTTGTCAGGCTTCCAGACAACCTCACTGACCTCTGCTGTCACAGGCAGAAGGAGCAGTTCTCAACACATCAAACCTTATTCCCACTCCCCTGGGCTGTTGCTAAGCTGAGCAGCATCTTTACAGAGAAAGTGAGATCAGTGACAGGCAGTATGGGAAGCTACAGGACTCCAGCAGAAAGAACTGTCTTACAGGGGCGGGCACCCTAGCCATAGCCTCTCCCCGGAGGCAGTTCTGTTCATGCCGATGTTGTGATAGCTCGAGCACCAGCCCACACCTCCTGAGTCTATCGTTCCATAAACCCAGATGCCTCAGGGCCCTATCTTTGGCTGCTTTACTTCTATGAGAATTAAGACTTTTAAACTGAATTTGACTCAACGTAGGTTGCATTCATTTGGATAAGAGGAAGTAATTGCTCAAACTATTTTAGTTCCTTATAAACAAAACTATCAGCAATTGAAGCCATTAAATATTATTTAAATGAATATGTGGGGCACGAGAGGCCAAGCCACAGAACAGATAGTAGTTCTTCCCAATTAAAGTGATATTAAACCAGTTTCTAACTAAAGCTACTACTTAATCTTAAAGACAGAACAAATGAAATTTCTCCAACTTGTGCATTTCTGAATCAAGCTCTAGCACATCAAAAATATTTTAGTCATTATCGGTCTTACTAACTCTAGTGGCAAATGCCAAATGCCACGCTGTTTGAATTTTTTAGGAAATCAAATCCAGTGAATTTTAATGAACTGGATTGCCCATTCCTGAAATTTCTTATTTTCAAGTGCCTGATCTGGGAAAGAAGGGGAGAAAACAATTACGTTTATCCAAAGGTACATTATAAAAATATGTTTTTTACCTAAAAAGGTGTTTATCCTCATCTCAGTCTCACGTGGGCAGGCACCACCCATGGCTTATTTGACAAGTGGCTTTTGGCTTGTGTGTCTGAAATGGTCGTTTCAAATTAGAGGATAGATCCTGCACAGCCATGATGTGACCGCAGCAGTGCATGTCTAAAATCTAAGTGCACCAGCCTGAAAAAGAGAGATGGTGGGAGAAATTAATTAGACTGTATACAGTTTTTGTATTAATTTGAATAAAAGTGGGGGAAAAAACCCCATAACCTTCATCTTGTAGTTCTTCAGCTTGGTGCTCTTGAGGTCCTGATGATAAAGATGTGGCTTTGTGATTAGAGTATCCTGATGGGCAGCCTGAGTTACAGGCTGAATAGTCAGCTAGCCAGGCTCTAATCAGTCCCCATCCTGTCGGTTCAGAATGACAAAGGGATGGAGGCTGGCAGATACGAGGGTTCTAAGAGGAATGTGTGAGGAAAATCTCAAGGTCAGCAAGATTCCTGCCTTCCTGTGTTTGAACTGGTGGGGAGTTCTTTGTAGCCCGGAGGATAGAAATCTACTTACTGGAAGAAGTTACAGGGCTGCAAAATTTAGGTCAGCAGAGTGGAAAGGGCCAAAAGCGCACACATTCAGAACTTAACTACCATGGCTGAGCACATGCATTGTCTTGCTTACTTCTCTTACAAGACCAAGAGAGAAGTATTTTTCACACTTGGCTGATGAAAGAATTCCCCTCTGACTGACTTTGAACCATGCTCACCTCCCTCTTGAGGCCCTTTCAGCGCTTGACTCCACGATGGCATTATAGAACATCACATTATCCATAACTGCAGCAAAAATATCCCACATTTTTTGTCCTCTGAAAAAGACTGAGCTCACTCTGTTACTGTTTTATATATATATGCACACACACACGTGTGTGCATATATATATATATAAAATCTCTAGCATATCACACTTTTTAGTATTTTCCTATTTCAGAGAATTTGCTGATGCTCTTTGAGATGAAGTGCTGCTGTTTTAGAGATTGCTTCATCTATTTGCATAACTCAGAAATGCTATGCTGATCTACTTTTTCATAGCTTCAGCCAGCTTCCCATTTCCATCTGAGAAAGAGTATGTGCTTTCATCACTCTGGATTCCATGAAAATAACCATATATCATACTTCAATAGAGAGAAAGTATCTCTATTTTCTCTTAAGTGGAGGACACTTACTCATATGCTTGAGTGCTATATCTGGCTGTTCTCTAGAGGTCTAAAAAAATTTCCAGAGATGCTATGTTGTAGACAGTGCATGCCCCAAGTTCTTGATATCTGAAGGCCCCCAAATAATTTGGGTAGTTGTTTAAAAGTGATAGCTTACTCATAGGATCTTTATTGTTCAAAATTAATAAGTATTGATATATTTTTAGTGCAAGTGAACCAAGAACCACATTCCCTTTGGTGCTTTTTATTTTTATGAATGTGGCCCAAGATTAGCACCTTACCAAAGGAGCCTTTTTCATTGTTAGGTGTTGAAAATTATTTACAGATAAAATGGCAGGAGAAAAATTCAACAAATCCTGTTACACAGTGGTGCATTATTTTTTAGTTATGCTTTTAAGCATGAGCTGATCTCTGATTAGCCCAACGCTGACAATAAAACTGATTTATAAGTAATCACAATGGAGCCATTCAATAGTGGAGCTGTGGCAAACCTTCGTTCTAAGCCATCAATTAAAATATCCAGTCACTAAAAATAATGTCCCAATAAGACTTTAATATCATAAAACCTTTTGCACTCAAAAGAAGTTTCATACATCCACTGCAATTTATATCACAATAGAAGGTTGTTACGCTCTTGCCTCCTGGCTTTTTTGATGAAAAGATGTTTTAAGAATGAAAAGTTTTAAGATTGCCTCTGGGAGGCAAATGAAAACATGTTTTAAAATTGCCTCTTTGGGAGAGAAGTTATGTTTCTAGAATACTTTCCTACTTACATGACCATTTGATTACAGTCTTCAAATACTCCTTGGTTTTGATTTAGTGAATTGCTTTATCATTTTCTTTCTCCTCTTAAAACAAGACTACTCAGACGTTGAATCAGGTTGAACCATATTGAATGGCCATTTCTGCAAGTCAAGAATTATCAAATATGGGCCATTTCATATGGTTCAACCAAATACTAAATTTAATGTACCTGGGACTGGTAGGTGACATTTTCTGAATTATTTTAGCAAAGTTTAGATGATCAATTATTTTCTAAGAAAACCTTGTATGCTCACATTAGAGTTCCAATACAATTGGAAGAGACTAATATGAAACTCCTATTCTTTCAGCAGTTGATTTGTGCTACTCTGTGCTTGCACTCTGCTGATGCTGGGGACACCCAGGAATCATTCCATCATTCATCCCGCCATCAGGAGCCAAGTCTAGTGCATGTCTATATCTGCCACGTCACTTGTCCATGCTATCTTCTCCTTCCATCAGCACCCTGAGTTCTGCATTGTATGCCACCTCGCTACCCCCTTCAGTCCACACTTGCACTCTTTCTATACAATGCTGGAAGACTAATTCTCAACACTTGTTATTCAGTTAATTCTGAATGTCCTTCAAAACTCAGCTCTGATCCCTTCAAACAGAATATGTTCTAATTAACTCTTTGTTAAGTGTAAAAGTTCAACTACCTGACGACCAAGGAGGTGGGGAGGTGTTGTAGGCTGAATTATGTCCTAAAATTCATATGTTGAAGTCCTAATCCCCAGTACCTCAGAATGTGACTGTGTTTGGAGATAGGGCCTTTTAAGGGGTGATTAAGTTAAAAGGAGGTCCATATGTGTGGGCCCTAATCCAATCTGACTGCTGTCCTTAGAAGAAAAGATCAGGACACAGACATGCACAAAGAGAAGATATGAGGACACAGAGTATATGGCCATCTTCAAGCCAAGGAGAGGTCACTGGGGAACCCACGCTGCTGATACTTTCATCTTGGACCTCCAGCCTCCAGAATTGTGGGAAAATAAATGTCTGTTGTTTAATCCACCCATCTGTAGTATTTTGTTACAGCAGCCTGAGCTGACTGCTCAGCTGGAGCACAGGAGAAAGCAAAATCTCTGCTCCTCCTCAGTGCTTACAGTGTACCTTGTGTGTGTTTATAGTTTTACTTCAAATAACACATTGCTTGGTTAAAAACTTCATGTAAACTGAAGAATGCAGTATGCATTTTCCTGTGACTTGCTTTTTTTTTTGCTCAACATGCTCATATTCATGCGTGTTGATGTGTGATCTGTGTGTTATCTGCTGAGTGGTATTTCATTCAATATTCATTGGTATACCACCATTTATCCCTTTGACTTGTGATAGACACTTGGTGGTTTATATTTGTACATTAATATAAACACATGAGTGCACACACGCAAGTTTCTCTAGCCTTCTCTAGCCTGTGTAGCTCAGAGTGGAATTTATGGGCTTTAAGGTATGCACATGTCCAGTTTCCTATGCAATAACAAAGCATTTCTAAAAATGTTTGTACCTGTTTACACTCCCAGCGGCCATGAATGAGAGCTCCCATTGCTCTGCATCCTTGTCAACACTTAGTACTGTCTGATGAATGCTTGACTTTTGCCAGATCTAGTTGATGGAGATAGTGTTCCAGTGTGTTATTACATGTTTGGGGACATTTGTGTTTCCTCTTCTCTCACGTGTGTGTTCACATGCATCTCTGTCTCACAGGACTTAAACATAGGATGCTGGATTTGTTGATATTCTTTTCATCCATAGAACTGCTACTCCTAGTGTAACACTGGGCACATAAAAGGGATTCAATAAATGAGGGTAAAAGAAAGGGAAGGGGGTAGAGGAAAGGAGGGGAGAGCCCTGATGTCTGTGTATATAGAAAAAATAGCTAGGGCAATTATATTTAAAAACAAGAGAGTGGAGTGTATAGGGGCATAATGGAAGTAATATTTCTCCACTTCATTCAAAGTAGTAAAGTATCCGTGCCAGTAGACTGTGCCAAGTTACATATGTAATACCTACAGTAAGCACTAGGAAAACTATGCAAAGTGATACTCTCACAAACTATAATCAAGATGGACTTTTTTTTAATATTCAAATAAATACAACAGGAAAGAAAAGAAACAAGAATGAGGAACACAAAGCAAGAAAAGAAATAATAAAATGACTGACTTAAGTTCTGACAATTACCTAAATTCAGATGGTCTAAATGCACCAATTAAAAGACAGATTGGCCAAGTGGATAAAAATGATTAATAAATCCTGTCTGCCAGAAACATTAAAATACAATGTTATAGATAGGTTATAGCATACACTATTTTTAAGAAAACAGAATGGTTATATTAGTATCTGATAAAGTAGACTTTGGAGCAAAGAAAATTACAGAAACATTACACAATGATAAAAGGATCAACCCACCAGGGACACACAATCCTGAATACGTACACACCAACCATCAGAGCGTCCAGTTACATGAAGCAAAACCTGATAGAGCTGAAAGGAGAAATAGACAAAGCCACAATTAGGGTTGGGACTTCAGCATTCCATTCTCAGCAACTGAGACACTATGTGACAAAGCAAAGCTGTAGAGTCACTGGTACACACATACATGCATATGACAGTGGATTCTGCATACACAAATGCACACAACAAACACTGGCTCCTCTGCAGCAATTCTGACTGGTTTATCTCAGGACCCCTTTGCTCTCCTAAGAATCATTAAGTTCCTCAAAGAGGTTTTGCTTAGTTGTATTGTATTTATTGATATTTATATATATCAGTAATTGAAAATTTTCTAAAATAATTCATTTAGAAGAACAAAAACCTGTTCTGTACTTCTTAACATAAATATCTTTGTGACTCCTACTAAGGAGATGCTGCTGGAAGTAGAATTCAATTTGACAAGGAGGGAGAAATTGAGGACAAAGGAAAGACAAGATCTTTTGAAAAGTTGGGAGAGGAACAGAAAGTATGAGTTGTTTTTTTTTTTTTTATCACTTTTCAAAAACCACAGAGAAAGAAGCCCTGAAACCATGAACGTAGGGAAGCAGTTCTGCCCCATCTCACATAGAATGAGCAACAATCCCACATAAAATTATTAAAAGAATAAAAAAGATTAATGGATTAGGTGCAGAATAACATCTCTATGAATAAAGAAAGGATGCCAGAAAAATATGCTTGCAAATACCTAATATTTAAATGAGCTTCAAAAATTAAGATTATAGAAGCTATGATAGAATAGCAAAAAATTAGAATATGGAAAACTCAGAAATGACATGATTGGATAAAAAGTTCTGAAAGGAAGCAGATGAACTCAAGAAAATTAAAAATAAGGAAAGCTTTGAGAAACTGAAAATTAGATGGAGCACAGGAGCAAATAAATCCAAGAGAAACAAAGGTGGGAAGGAGGAAAACAAATTTACAGAGATTAAAAAGATTTGAGAAAAGTGATAGATACAGAAGACAGTCAAAGAAGCTTCAACATAAGTATAATAGGAATATCAAAAAAGAAAGCCAAAATAATGGAAAAAAACAAATTATAAACTGTAATACCAAAAAAATTGTTCAGTAAAAGAAGACTTAAAAGTATATACTAAAAGTTCACTCCATTTATCAATACATGGGAAAATCGACCCAGACTGGCCAACAATGACACATATTCTAGTAAAATTATTGGACTTTAAAGGAAAAAGAAAAGCCTCTTTGGAGAATCAGACAAAAAGATCAAGTCATTTAAAAGGGAAGTAAAATCAGACTGACATCAGACTTTTCAAAAGCAACACCATGCCAGAAGATAAATGATACATGAGTAGCTTGTTAAAATGTCAAGCTATTTTCTAAGCTATTTAAAGACTCAATGCAATTCCAACAGCCCCCCCCCCTTTTTTTTTGAAGAAATGGAAAAAAGGATTTTGTTGCCGAGCAATGCAACCGTTATATATAAAGGCCACACATTTGTATGAACATAAAATAACTCAGAGAATATTATTCACATGACTCCTTCCTGAGGAGTCTCCTAGACTTGGGGTCAGGCCAAATCCAGCCCACCATTTGTTTTTGTACAATGCATGAGCCATACAAAAAGTATAAAATATCTGTGAGGCCATAATTATATAAATAAGTGAGCAATAGATAAGTGGAGGAGATGAGACAAATCTCCTATGAAGAATTCCAGATTAATTTAGGTAGATACTCTTCTCTTCCCCACTAAAATGTGAGATGCACTTAGTAAGTTGCTTACAGAAAGTACAATATGGAAGGGGACAGGAAGGTGTATCAGGTTACAGTGGAGAAAACTGGCAAACAGGTCCTGGCCAGGGAATCAAGGTCAATATCATCACTGGTAAGTCAAGTTTTTTTTGTTTTTTTGCTTTTTTTTTTTACAACTTTATTGCAGTATAATTGCTTTACAATGGTGTGTTACTTTCTGCTTTATAACAAAGTGAATCAGTTATACATATACATATGTTCCCATATCTCTTCCCTCTTGCATCTCCCTCCCTCCCACCCTCCCTATCCCACCCCTCTAGGTGGTCACAAAGCACCGAGCTGATCTCCCTGTGCTATGCGGCTGCTTCCCACTAGCTATCTATTTTACGTTTGGAAGTGTATATGTGTCCATGCCACTCTCTCACTTTGTCTCAGCTCACCCTTCCCCCTCCCCATATCCTCAAGTCCACTCTCTAGTATGTCTGTGTCTCTATTCCTGTCTTACCCCTAGGTTCTTCATGACATTTTTTTTCTTAAATTCCATATATATATCTGTTAGCATATGGTATTTGTCTTTCTCTTTCTCACTTACTTCACTCTGTATGACAGACTCTTGGTCCATCCACCTCATTACAAATAGCTCAATTCCATTTCTTTTTATTGCTGAGTAATATTCCATTGTATATATGTGCCACATCTTCTTTATCCATTCATCCGATGATGGACACTTAGGTTGTTTCCATCTCCTGGATATTGTAAATAGAGCTGCCATGAACATTATGGTACATGACTCTTTTTGAATTATGGTTTTCTCAGGGTATATTCCCAGTAGTGGGATTGCTGGGTCATATGGTAGTTCTATTTGTAGTTTTGTTGTTGTTGTTGTTTTTGCGGTACGCAGGCCTCTCAATGTTGTGGCCTCTCCCATCGCAGAGCACAGGCTCCGGACATGCAGGCTCAGCAGCCATGGCTCACGGGCACAGCAGCTCCACAGCATGTTGGATCTTCCCGGAACGGGGCACGAACCCGTGTCCCCTGCATCGGCAGGCAGACTCAACCACTGCGCCACCAGGGAAGGCCC